CGGTCACACATTGGCCCTGATCCAGTGTTAAATTGTAAAATGATCTGGAAAGCGTCAGAGTTCACCTGCAGATTGAACTTCACATAAATCCAGGTTTATGATCAAACACAGAGCCCCCTGCTGGGCTAGTTGTGTACTGCCTTTCAGGACTGAACCAGTGCCACCATTTCAGGACTGCCACAGCAGGAAGTCACTCACATGCACTCACATCAAAACGTGCGCTCTCCTGAGCTGCAGCTGACAAAGCCTAACGTCAGACAGTCTGCAGACGGTGGTCTTCATGCACGGAGGAGCTGGTTCTGCTCTGAGCAGATGGTGCGGCTCCTGTGGAGATGACCTCACTGGTCTGACACCAGAGTCACACTACAAGAAGAACCCTGTCTGATGCAGTTTGTAGTTCTACCACAGGCGTCAGTCACACACACACACACACACACACAGGTGGCACAGGAAATGAAGTCAGCTTGTAGATTTATATCAGAATCTCCACACGAGCTGTAATTCATCATCCTCCCAGCCTCCCCTCCACTGTGTTTAGGTTGTGTGTGTTTTCCTCTCAGACAAGACGGTGAAGCTGTGGAAGATCAGCGAACGAGACAAGAGACCAGAGGGCTACAACCTGAAGGACGAGGACGGACGGATCAGAGACCCCTCCACCATCACCTCCCTACGGGTAAGAGGACACCACATCATGAACTACACACTGTGAACTACACACTGTGGGACGTTAGCTCTCACCCACCACTGAGCTGGAGTGACCTCTGGTGGTGAGAACAGTAAAGACACCAGGTGTCAGGATCCTGGTAGTGACGACTGTAACAATCAGTACAAATGTTCTCATCAGTTGTTCTTCAGTCGATGTAGGAAGCCCCGCCCCCTTGGATGGCCAATAAAGAGACAGAAATAAAGTGACCCACATGAAGCTGCAGCCCCCCCCACTCCCCCCCCACATCCATCCATCAGTGCCAGCAATAGATCAGAGAAAAAGACAAGACGCTGCCGATTTGTTCCCCCCCCCCCCCCCCCACCCCCCCCCCCCCCCACCCATCCACCAGTGCCAGCAATAGATCAGAGAAAAAGACAAGACGCTGCCGATTTGTTCCCCCCCCCCCCCCCCCACCCCCCCCCCCCCCCACCCCCCCCCCCCCCCACCCATCCACCAGTGCCAGCAATAGATCAGAGAAAAAGACAAGACGCTGCCGATTTGTTCCCCCCCCCCCCACCCCCCCCCCACATCCACCCATCAGTGCCAGCAATAGATCAGAGAAAAAGACAAGACGCTGCCGATTTGTTCCCCCCCCCCCCACCCCCCCCCCACATCCATCCATCAGTGCCAGCAATAGATCAGAGAAAAAGACAAGACGCTGCCGATTTGTTCCCCCCCCCCCCACCCCCCCCCCCCCCCACCCCCCCCCCCCCCCACATCCATCCATCAGTGCCAGCAATAGATCAGAGAAAAAGACAAGACGCTGCCGATTTGTTCCCCCCCCCCCTTCGCCCCCCCTCTTTGTCTGGGATTTATCTGGCCGGCGGGGGGGCTGATGCTGGAGCTGACTGTCTCTGAAGACCAAGAAGAAGAAACGCAGTGGAGCCGTGTGTGGGTGGGAGAGAGAGAGAGAGACAGACAGACAGAGAGAGAGAGTCATGGTTCTCAGCAGGGCCTTGAAAGGTCCTTGAAAGGTCCTTGTAAGGGCCTGGAGCCATTTCTCCTCCTCTCAGCTCAGTTACAGAAAAATGGGATTCAAACCAAATATGATGATCAATAATGACTCAGTCAGTCATGGTCCACGATGTTCTCTGAGTATCCTGAAGGTACTACTGGTACCACAGGTACCACAGGTACCACAGGTACCACAGGTACTACTGGTACCACAGGTACCCCTGGTACCACTGGTACACTGGTACCACAGGTACTACTGGTACCACTGGCACCACTGCTACTACTGGTACTACAAGTACCACTGGCACCACTGCTACTACTGGTACTACAGGTACCACTGGTACCACAGGTACCACAGGTACTACTGGTACCACTGGCACCACTGCTACTACTGGTACTACAGGTACCACTGGTACTACTGGTACCACTGGTTGACCTCCTCACCTCAGACTGATACATCACTCTGGACGTCTTCAACTAAAGTGTCCATCTGTGCCCCCTGTGTGTAGGTACCGGTACTGCAGCCCATGGACCTGATGGTGGAGGCCACAGCCAGACGGGTCTTCAGTAACGCCCACACCTACCACATCAACTCCATCTCCGTGAACTCTGACCTCCAGACCTTCATCTCCACTGACGACCTCAGGGTGAACTTATGGAACCTGGAGATCACCGACCGCAGCTTCAGTATCCTTCTGTGGACAGCTAGTTAGTCAAGTTTAACAGTTAGTCAAGTTTAGTAGTTAGTCAAGTTTAGTAGTTCGTCAAGTTTAGTAGTTAGTCAAGTTTAGTAGTTAGTCAGTAAAGTTTAGTAGTTAATGAAGTTTGGTAGTTCGTCAAGTTTAGTTAGTTAGTCAAGTTTAGTTGTTAGTCAAGTTTAGTAGTCAGTAAAGTTTAGTAGTCAGTAAAGTTTAGTAGTTAGTCAAGTTTAGTAGTTAGTAAAGTTTAGTAGTTAGTCAAGTTTAGTAGTCAGTAAAGTTTAGTAGTCAGTAAAGTTTAGTAGTCAGTAAAGTTTAGTAGTCAGTAAAGTTTAGTAGTCAGTAAAGTTTAGTAGTCAGTAAAGTTTAGTAGTCAGTAAAGTTTAGTAGTCAGTAAAGTTTAGTAGTCAGTAAAGTTTAGTAGTTAGTCAAGTTTAGTAAAGGTGGTGTTTGACATGTTAATGCTGAGTTTTTCCCCTAAAGACGCAGCGTTTGTCCTTAGTGGCGTCCCCTCAGACATCGTGGACATCAAACCGTCCAACATGGAGGAGCTGACTGAGGTCATCACCTCGGCTGAGTTTCACCCCCGTCAGTGTCACACCTTCGCCTACAGCAGCAGCAAGGGCTCCATCCGACTGTGTGACATGAGACAGGCGGCTCTGTGTGACAGACACTGTAAATGTGAGTGTGTCACATGACCACAACCACACCACAGACAGACACTACTGACACTGACACTGACGAGGTTAGTACCTCAGTACACACCCTGGTCCCACTACAAGACCACACACCACTGTTTGGGAACCCCTGCTGTAGACGCCTCAACCTGAGTTTTTTAACAAAAAACTGACCGAAAACACATCGATGTTAGTGCAGCAAACGGGGGGGGAGGGGGGGGGGAGCATCAATGTTTCACTCCAGGGAATTATTAAAAAAAAAAAAAATCAGAGACAGAGGTGAAAAACAGAAACAACCTGTCAGTGTGTGTGTGATTTATTGATTGATTGAATGATTGAATGACTGATCAATACATTGACATTTAGGTCAAAAATCAATGACTTTAAAGCAGTTTCATTAGACACAGCATGTTG